GGGGGGGGGGGGGTATAGATCACGTTTCACGGAAAATAAAGCAGCCCTTTCACAATTCACAAAAAATACAACATTGGCAAACGTGCTTCATGAAGCACGCTTCACAGAAAATAAAAGAGAACGTTTTGGAAAATCACGGCTCACAGCGACTATGGAAATCACGATTCATGAGGAAAAAATTAGCCATTTCACAATTCACGGGAAAAAAAAAGGGCCGATCATGAGTCACGAAATTACCCTTTACCACCCTCTGTTCTGTGACCAACATATCAGCAGAAAGGTACGTCTAATGTTGCATGGTGAATTATTGCCTATCACAGATGCATTATTCGTCACTTGTACAACCAATTCCACTTCATTATCCTGACAAAACAGTGGCACTTCAATAATGAATTCATATATACCAAAACACAAGTTCAATTCCAAGGGCACTGAGAAAGAAATGCATAGAAAGAAATGCTTTATACTGTACCAGTAAAGCAAAACAATCAAAACAACATTTTGTATCAAAGTTCCCTGCACCAAACTTGCATGTTGTATTTATGTATTTGAGAAAGAATTTTGTTTCTCAGATTACATTTTGTGTGTTTGGCAGCAAAAAATCTCATTTTTGACATCTCTCTTGGCCTGCAAAGAATGACAACTGTGATTACCTGAAAAGAATGCTTTTCGCTTTTTTGCATTCTTTTTCTTACAGTGTAATTCAATCTATATTGCGACATAACGTCCTATCGTCTTGTCGTCTGGTGGGGAAAATTTGACATGTCACTTTCGAACTTGCATATTGATTTTTCTTTTATCTATGAAAATTTTGACTAAACACTACTCTGGAGACCTGGCAGAGCTAGAAAATCTTTACAGAACTAGATGTTTTTATGTGATGCAAAGTTTGCCAAGAATGACACTGCAAAGCAGCATGCCTGTGTTTGACAACATCAGTGCACACGCTGGGAGGGTTTGGAAACAAAGTTAATTGTTAATGGATTCATGCCATACACACTCCAATCCAGGACTTCCCTTGAATAACTTGGGATGCCTTTTGTGTAAATGTAATGCAAATTATGTAATTATTACGCGATTTACTATGGGAGTCGAAGACTTTTTTCCCTTGTCTTTTTCGTGGAAGTATTAATTAGTTACATCACACACAGCTTGTAATTTTTTGTTAGAAATAATCTTTGTCTCCTGAACTATAACTGTTAGTTCTCAATGAATTATTCTTAACGGGATCGGAGAACTGTTAATTCTGTCGATTCCATATTACTATTATTCTGTAATGCAATTATTCAGGTCAAAAAGCTGACCCCCCCCCGACCCATGTGGAATTTCCAATCCCTTCCATGGGAGTATGGATATTTTCAGGAACCACACATTATCTACTTTCTGTAATTTTTATTCTTTAAGTTCTCACCCAGATAAGGTTCCTTTATGGCTCACTCCTTTTTGCCCTGTTTCTAGTGCCAAATACATGTAGCAGAATCTCCTACTTTCCATTGTTTTGTAAAGCGTTCACCTATTGTAGCTATCATATTTCCAGTGGTTGTATGTGTATTTCAAATCAGTGTAACAATGTTAATTCGTATTTGGCAATTTCATCTGAGGAGTTGCTGCACACAAGTTGTGTAGTATGAAACTAAATAGTAATAAAATGCCAAGTCAAATCTACAGTTGATCAGGTGGTCATCTGTTATAATCACGCCCTAGTTTACTATTGAGCACAGATCTGCAAATCAACTCGTTTGTATTTAGTAACAAATGTGTTATTGGCAAAAATCCTACTAGTTTTCTTGACTTTTGCCGTCTTTGGCAAACCAGTTTCCTGTCCTTTCCTCTCACACCCTCTATTCTCTTGGGTTTGAATCCCCTGTCCCTCACCACATGTTGCCAGATACTTTAATTTTAGTAAGCCAAATGGGAGTTTCAATAATTAGACCTGCATATGTGCATGCATTTTTATCCCTAATTTATTCTCTTCTTTGTTTTCTTTCTAAATAACAAAAGAGGAGAGTAAATAAGGGATAAAAATGCTTGCCCAATGTACTAATTCTTGAAACTCTGATTTGGACAAAGAAAATAATCACCCTGGGCTACTACTGGACACACTGTTCTGATATGACATTTTTTAAAGCTACATGTAGCTTCATGAACAATCTGAGTAGTCCTTACTTTTCAAAGTAATGTTGGGGGTGGGGTGNGGGTTGGGGGTAGTGAGACCAAAAGAAGGCAAGGAAAAAGGAAGAAAATTCTTGGCTTCCATTTCATTCGTCTCTTTGTCGCTGTTGGTCGTAATGTCCAGTGATATAAGAGTCTTCTGTGTGCTACATGTACCTAGTTAATGTGAGATCAAGATTTTGGACATGTGATGTGAACCAATGTATGGTTAATTAAAAATGTCTCAGGCCCTCCTACAGTTCTCTTCGCATCTCTTCACCCCTCTTTCTGGAAGGCATGATATTTAGGCTTATCATGGAAGAGTCACTAGAGAGACAAGGATGAAGTTGTAACAGCATGAAAGTACATGTAATCCTGGTATCATGTGAACATCTGTTAATAATGAACATGAATCATCTCTGGAAATCACAAAAGGGACTGAACTGTTTCAAGGTACCACTTGACATGAAGAAGTTAATAACTTCAAATACCATCTGATTTGTAGATCTATCAAGGAACGTGCTGAATCAGTCAGTAAGAAGATAGGTGAGAAGCTCACACCAGAAATTAAAAAGTGTCTTGACAATGCACTCACCATGGAAGAGGTGGAAGAAGTGGTAAGCTTACAAAGCACTTAAAAGTTTTAATGTCAGTTTATTCAGCTCTTTTTTAACCAGAGATCCAAATACAGGCTTTTAAAGAAGAAGTGAAATTAAATGATAATTTTTGTAATCGTAATTCCAGAAAAGATCTATTCATGTACAGTGTAAAATCACTTGAAAAGAATTTTTTATATCAAATGTGTCTCATCTTACACTAATCAAACAAGAAAGGTCAAAAGTATATTGTCTTTGTTTCTGCTTTTCACGTGTTTGTTAATGCTAATTACCACCTTCTAGTATTTAAATCTTGCACTTTGTTTGTCCCTTTGAGTCTGAAGATGGTAAAATAGAATAATACTGAAATATAACATTGCTAATCTTCCTTGCATCTATTGTCTATTATATATTTAACTTAGTAGAATTCTACTAGTATACTAATGAAAATGCTGTAATCTGATTGGCTGAGCCATTGAACACTATCAGCCATTAGTGTGCAGTGACTAGAGGTCGTCATTTATTTTGTTTTTCCAAAGTTTTGAAGGAAAATTTTGATGCAAATGGTTTAATTAAATTCCTGAGAAGCCTAACAGAAGGACATTTACGGTTTCTTGATGTTTAAAAAAGTTGAAATTATTGAAAAAACTGATGTGCGCGTGCACACAACTTCAATTTTACAGGACAATTCAATCCAACCAATCTTTTTCAGGCACAACTCAGTCGGCCTCATCAACTATCACCTCATAGAAATCGAGAGCTCATAGTCTAATTGTTAATTAGTCAAATGCAATACTTGAATTAACCTTTATCCTTTATCCTTTATGTCTTTATGTCTTGAAATTATCAGCAGGTAATGGGTTTTGGGTCAAACTTATCAAAATTACCAGGGCAATATTACATGTGCGATGACATTGTCTGATATATAACTTTATGGGCTTGATGACTAGTATGCACCATTCAAGAAAGGCAGCAAAGGCTCCCATGCCGAGAGAGCACGGCAGCTTGGACTTGGTGAACCTGCTGAGCTATTGTTAAAGAATCCAGGGATGGTTCAGCTTGAAAAGCTGGTTAAACCAGACACAGAAGGTAATGACAGTAAGCAATCTTATGAAAAAAACATGTGGGAGGCTTCAATTGTCAGGGGCATTACTGACGAGTGTCTTACAACTGAATGTCAAACCTTCTCAAATGAACTTTACTCAGGAGGTCGTCACAACACTTTAAGAATAATGAACACAAGTCCTGTTTTTTGTTGTTATTTTATCATCCTCCGTGTCACAGTTTTAATGCCATGTCTAATATCGGAATTTTACCCTTACCTGGCCTCATGTGTACCTGGTCGCTCAGACCATGTTGTATCTTACCATATATCAAAACTCTTCGAGGTAGATAACAATTTTTTCATGAAATTTAGTAACTTGATCACGAGGAATTAACCAGTGAATTTCTTGTATTAAAGCTTTTATTTTGAGGGACTTCCTGAAAATCATATTTCAAGCAATGAGCTTGGTTTCCTCTTTAAGAATTGTCATTATAATAGTTAATATTGACTGTTACTTGATATGGCTTCATCAATTTGTTGTTCAATTTTTGAAAAGAACTACATGTATATGTATGCTTGCAGGAATTAAAGATGTGAAACAAGTCTCACTTGGTATACAGCACATTCTGGCTGACATTATTGCCAAAGATAGTTCCACTCTAAGCTCAATTAAAGCAATGTGAGTAGAAAATGCGGATCATGTGACTGTATTAAAAGCATCCGATGTAGAGTGTCCATCA